CCATCCCCGAATCCTGCAGCACCTCGCAACTATGCCCTTTTGGTAACTCTGACCATGCAGTAGTATCGGTTAACATCTCCTTTAACTCCACCCCCTATAAAGAACCTCCTACCACTAGAACTTCGTTCTATTATCAACGAGCTGACTGGGACGCGTTCCATGATTTCCTCCGCGATGTCCCCTGGGATGGAGTCTTTAAGCTCCCTGTCCAAGAATGTGCTTCTGAGGTCTCTTCCTGGGTTAAAGTTGGAATCGACGCTTTCATCCCATCAAGGAAATATAGGGTCAAGTCGCGCTCCTGCCCCTGGTTCTCGGCTGCTTGCTCAGCCGCCATCGGCCATAGGAACCACTACTTCCACCTATACCGTAGCGACATGTCTGACTGCAATAGACGTCTCTTTGCCTCCACCCGTAATGAATGTAAGTGTGTCCTAAATGATGCTAAGTCACTATTTGCGGCTCGAATGAAGAAGCGTATTGCATCTCATAAATTTGGCTCCAAAGATTATTGGCGTCTCTGCAAGAGTGTATTGAACAATTGCAAACCCTCTATACCTCCTCTATTCAACCAGTTCGAAGTCTTGACCTCCTCTACCGACAAGGCTGAATGCTTTGCTCGAAAATTTTCATCCAACTCTACGCTCGACTCTTTCGGTGTACCCATACCAGACTTCCCTCTTAGAACTGAGGCCATATTGAGTGGGTTAAACATAACCCCATCTTTGGTACTGGGCGTTATCTCCAATTTAGATCCCAACAAGGCGAGTGGTGGAGATGGGATACCAGCCATTGTCTTAAAGAAATGCGCGCCTGAACTGGCGCCCGCCCTTTCGAAACTATACAACTACTGCCTCAAGGAATCTTGTTTTCCTGACTGCTGGAAGTCCTCTTCGATCGTTCCTGTCTTCAAGAACTCTGGCGACCCCTCTGACCCTTCCAACTACCGTCCTATCAGTCTCCTTCCCCTCTTTGGCAAAATCTTCGAAGCTCTAATCAATACCGGGGTGGTTAACCACCTCACATCCCATAATCTGCTCTCAGACAAGCAATATGGTTTCCGCTTTGCCAGATCTATAGCTGATGTGCTCACAGCCATCACTGAAACAGTCTACCGAACTCTCCAAAATAACGGGGAAGCCCGAGCCGTGGCACTAGATATCTCCAAAGCATTTGATAGGGTTTGGCACGCCGGCCTTCTCCGCAAGATCCAGGGTTATGGCATTACGGGTCGATTATATAACATAATACAATCATTCCTGTCAAACCGTGAATTGAAGGTTGTTCACAATGGATTCTCCTCCAGTTCCTATCCCACGAACGCAGGTGTTCCTCAAGGCTCCATCCTAGGCCCCACTCTATTCCTTATCTACATAAATGACCTTCTTGACGCCGTAACTTCTCAAAGTCGGCATCTACGCGACGACACCACAATTTATTCCTGCCTCAAAAACAAATCTAGTCTCGCTGACAAAACTCACCTTGCCGTGCGTCTCGAAAGGACCTCCAATCGATTGTGAACTGGGGCATGAATTGGCTGGTCAACTTCAACGCTTCAAGAAGACAAAACTACTCTCTATTAATCACCACAGAGAGCCTTCCTTCCCTCCATTAGAATGTCTGACGCTCAACTTCTCGAGAGCAACTCTCTGCGGCTTCTCGGTCTCACGTTGACTGCTGACCTGAGATGGAATAAATACATCGAGTCAATTGCCTCGTCCACTGCGAGGAAAGTTGGCTCCCTGATCCGCGCTAGGAAGTTTTTCTCCCCTGAGTCGATCCTCCAGATATACAAATCCACAATTCGCCCTTGCATGGAGTATTGCTGCCATATATGGTCTGGCGCCCCTTCTGTTTGTCTCGGGGTTCTTGATAGGCTCCAGAAGCGGATATGCAATATGGTTGGCCCTGCCCTGGCATCTCGTCTACAGTCACTGTCTCACAGACGCACCGTCGCCTCCCTCTGTCTGTTCTACAAATACTTTCATGGAAATTGCTCCGAGGAGCTGCATTCGCTGGTTCCCAGACTTCATGAGTTCAAGCGCTCTACGAGGCTGGCATCCCGCTCTCACCCCTTCACTGTCGAAACTCCTAAATGTAGCCGTCTCTTCTACTCTAATAGCTTCATGTCTCGCACATCTCGCCTGTGGAACTCTCTTCCCTTCTCCTGTTTCCCTGTGAGTTATAATCTCCAGCAATTCAAGTGTAATGTCAATCGACATCTCCAGTTGCCTTAATCTATCTACTACCCTCATCCTTTCTTCTATCACTCCTATCTGATCTTCCTATTTTCTGTAACCCCTTGCATCCTAGTGGCTTCCCGCCTTGCTTGGGGTGAAATGCTTAAAAAAAAAAAAAAAAAAAAAAAAAGAAGAGTTACCATTCAAGATAACTTTCATTTCACGATTTTATAAGAAAGACTGAATCAGTTCAAAAATTTCATCCAGAAATACCATAACCTTTCAACTTGTGGAGAAGACCAGTATACCAAACTTTATCAAATGCCTTCAAGATATCAAAAGGAACAGCTCAACCTTCACTATTTTTATTTAAAGCTTGATAGACCCTTTCAGCAATAAATGTTATTATACCAGAAGTTGACCTAGAGAAGTGAAAGCTATATTACTTATCTGAAAGAAGACCCACTGAGGTAAGAAGTTTGGCCAATGCAGAGTTGATGAGAACCTCCAGTACTTTGCCAAAAAGAGGTAGAAGGCTAATAGGACAGTAATTAGAAGGATCAGACAGTTCACCTGAGTTCTTAAAAACTGGAACTACTGAAGAGGATTGTAGAGTTTGGAGAGAACAGGAGCCAGTTCAGGAGAATATTTCTCATGGACAATTGCAGGATACTATCAAGTCCATATCCTTTGTGGGTATCCAGTTTAGAGAGGATAACAAAAAACTATGGACAGCGTTATATGCATATCACACAAAAGAGACTCAGTTCTAAGTGGAAACCATATAGGACAGTGGTTACCAAAACCTTCTTCTCTGGGCCACATTTTTGTGCCTCACCAAATTTTATACAATAAAAAATACATTTAAAAATAAAAAAAAAAAAAACAAAGAGAGAGAGTTAAAGGGAGATAACCGTGAATTCCAAGTCAGAAAATTATCATTGATAACTCTCTCCTCCAATTTGCGAACACTAGCTACTATATTTTTAAAGCTTGATATAATACAAAAATATCACAATAATAAAATCAGTCAATAATTATTCATAACTATTTATACTGGGACTCATGCATGCAATTACAAGTAATCTATAATAATATTCTAGATTTTGAAATCATATTTATTTTTGGTATGTGAATTTTTTGAAATTGTTTCTAAATATCTGATTCTCTTTCAATCATTCCACGTGACCTGTTATGAGGTGTGTCATACCGTTTGGGAACCACTGACCTAGGAGAAGGAAAACACTGAATTCAGAACCAGTCTGAAGAGACATTAGCTCCATCAGGCTATCTTAGACATGCCACTGCTGCTACAGATGCAGTACATATGCATCCCCAATGAGGCTTACCAGGCTTGTGATGTAAAATTAACATTTTTGAATCTAATATTACTTTTCAAACAACAGACATATCACTTGGTTAACACTGACTGGCATCATGCTTAATAATCCAGAAAACAATCAGCAAACCAAGTTTAACTTCTGACTGAGGAACTTTACACTAATGCTCCTGAAAAAGGAATAAATCCATTTTACCCTGAATTGTCTGACTGCTGAATATCTTGCTAGCTAACAGAGGAAAAAAGCAGGTGAGTGTGCATTTGGACAAACCAATCCCTCTTAATTATCATAAATGCCTAGTAGTAGCAACAAAAAACAAAGCTCTTACTCCTATTTTCAACCTTGACAGAGGTCAAGCATAAATAACAAGTCACTTAGATGAGAATAAACTGGTAACATCTGGGTGTCCCACATTCGGACAAATTTTAAAAATTTGACAGAAAAGAGAGGATTTTTATATAATTGTTTGCAGAATGAAAAGTGAAAGGTACTTTGAAGAGGACTAAAGAGCCATTGCACTAGATAGACTATTTTTTTCCATTAATATTAATTGGCTAGATCCTTTCCAAACAAATTTCAGACATTCACAAAAGCTAAAGAGGAGAAAACCATTGTCATCTTTAAAGGCCTTCGCAAGGAAGATTAAAAACATGAAGACTTTTTTGAAATACGTAAAAAGTAAAAAGGTAAAAATCTTGCACATGGAAATACAAATCTCTTCATGACAGAGAATCTAAAGTTAATGTTTGTTAATTTAACATCATATCAAAACTTGTTGGCTTATTTAATGTCAACTATATAAATCTTAAAGAACAATCACAGTGAATTAACAGATAGATATAGGTCTGGCTTACACTAGAGTTAAAATGGTAGACATATGCCTGATACAGACAAGAGTAAAAAAGAAAGACATAGATCCATTCAAAAAGGTGCACTAGAGTCAAAAAAGTAGACATAGGTCTGATATACATTGGATTAAAAAAAGGTAGACATTGGTCTGGTTGAAATTAGATTAAAAAAAAGGTAGACATTGGTCTGGTTGAAATTAGATTAAAAAAAAAGGTAGACATTGATCTGGTTGAAATTAGATTCAAAACAGTAGACATAGGTGTGGTTTAAATTACATTAAAATAAAAAGGTAGATATAGGTCTGGTTTAAAGTAGATTCAAAAAGGTATACATAGGTAGACTAATTCAAAAAGGTAGACTAGATTCAAGAAGGTAAACATATGTCCAGTCTACATATGTCCGTTTTATACTCGAGTCTGCAAGTACCCACCCTGGTGGCTTCTTTTGGAGGCTTTTATCCCTCTGTAGGTGATGTAATTGATGTATTCTAAGTTCCACTAACTGGGCAATTTTAAAAATCTGATAAAAATAATGTTCTCAGCAAATTTTTTTTAAATTAACTTTTCTTGATAAATTTTGAATGCCAACCCATGTCAAAAACAGATTAAAATATGGAAATTCCAAAAGAACTTACTGACTGAGGCCAAAAGCGTTTGAAGACAACGGCATTAAAATCAGGCCAGCTATCAACCCACACTTTGAGTCCGCCAAGACCATACTGGACTTCAGTAAGAAGAGCACTCCGCATCTAAAATATGAAAAGAAAAAAGTTATTCAGACGAGTATCATCTTTCTTGTTTTCATTATTACATTTTGGCCAAGGCTCTATCTCAGGTGGATCTTGCATCTGGTAGTTTGTGAGATTCAACATAGATGAATGGAGAAAATCCATTAAACATGACAATAGATGCAACCATATATTCTATTCTAATAGTTTCTTTTCTTGTACTTCTCATCAGTAGAACTCTCTTCCAGATTCTTGCTTCCCTGCCACTGACAATCTTTAAAAATTTAAATGCAAAATTAATCCCAATCTTGTCTTCCTGAAACCTGATCTTTTATTGTCCTTTGTAGTGTAATTATCCATGGTTAAATATAATTGGCAAAAATTCCCAACAAACAGAATTGATAAAGTTTAGAACAAACAATAACAAAAGAAAGAAAAGAACAAGGCAAACAATACATGCAAGAAAAGAACAAGGTAAACAATATATGCAAGAAAAGAACAAGGTAAACAATATAGGCAAGAAAAGAACAAGGTAAACAATATATGCAAGAAAAGAACAAGGTAAACAATATATGCAAGACAAAAGTAAGCAAAGCAACAGTAATGAGGTAAAAAAGTTCACAAACTAAGAATGGTGTTAATACATAAAAGGGATACAGAAAAGCGATCACAGTGTTCAGACTTCAAGAGATCAGCTAAGATTGAAAAGTAGCTTAATGTCTAGGGAGAAATCCCAGCATGCATCTGCATGTTTTGTCTATAAATTTGGGGAGGGGGATATTTTTGCAATCATTCCTAAACAAACTGGAAACAACATCCTTTCTTTTCACAAAAGTTTTCTCATTCTCTTTCATTCCCAGTAACTTCTTGCATCTTAGTGGCATTATTGCCTTGCTTGGGGTGAAATGATTTAAAATAAAAATAAAATAAACTTGAGTCAGAATGGCTGCCATTATTCACTAATATGGCCAATATTACCCATCAATATGGCAGCCAAAGTAAGAATATTTTTGTGCCTTCTTTGAATCTACAATGTTATTGGTCCTGACTTGACACCTTGGCTTCAGTCACTTTCCTACACTGCAACGTCGATTCCTTATGCCTTTCCTATAAATACTTTCATGGTAATTGTTCTGATGAACTTTCCTCTATGGTACCTAAATATTATGAATTTAAGTGCAGTACCAAATTGGCAGCATAATCTCACCAATCTGAAATTAAAATGGCTAGATGTATCCATAAATTCTATGCTAACAGTTTCACATTGTGGGATGCACTTCTGGCTCTTTGCTTCCCAGTCAATTTTGATTTTCAAAAATATTAATGCAATGTCAATTGTTATCTTCTGTCTTCTTCATTCTTATTCTTTTATTATCTCCTCTCCTTAACAGTATATTTTTCTAATATTCTCTAACATTCAGTAACTGCTTGTGTCTTAGTGGATTTATTACCTTGCTTGGGGGTGAAATGATTAAAAAAAAAAACAAGAAAACAAAGAAATCAATGAATTTCCACTACAAAATCTAGGTGAGATTGAGCAATAAAAACAAAAAAATTATGAGAATAAAAAAATCAGTCAAAATTAATAATGTATTACTCTCAAATATTGTTATAGTCAACCCTTTATCTCATTTATTTAGTTAACATCTTTTTGATACTTGTTACTTATTCTAGTGAAATGCTGCACATATTAATTTAGGTTAAAGTGAATTTAAAACAAGACTAAGATTAAAATAATGTAACAAAAGACTAATGATTAACTGTAAGAAAGCAAAATGCCTGGTTATCAACAAAAGAGACATCCCAAGGTTTGAAATACATATTGGGCATGACAAAAATCAAGAAGGGACAGAAATTTAACTATCTGGGTAGTATAGTAACAGACAAGAGAAAAAATTGATACAGAAATCTGAAGGTATATAGATATAGCAAAAGATATCTTCAAAAACCTAAGTATTAGTACTAGGCACCTCCACTTGCTCGCAGAAAAAACAGCATAGCATGATGAAAAAAGGTCCCAAACTTAATAAAAACAAAGTTTTATCATCAAAATGTTTATGTTATTATTAAGAGGAAAGACCAAAGTATTTTTTTATTACTTTATTAAATTTTTTAATCCTTTTTAGCACATTCTAAATTTTGGTTAAAAAAATTTTTCTTTTTTTTTTTGTTCGCACTTGTTTAGTGTTTTAGCACCTTTTTTTTCAGGTGAAATACACATTGATTTTGAAATTCTTGCAAAAATCAAATAATCGTCAGATTTTAATGAAACTTTCTGGATTTATTCACAAATGAAGGAAATTAATTTTGAAATTTTTTTTTTAGAAAATCTCAGTAAAAATTTTTTTTTTCTTTTTTTTTTTTTTTACATATGTCAATCACCACTTACTTAATTTCATAAAATTTCAAGAAATTAAATTTCAAGAAATTAAATTGCAATTTTTTAATTTATTTTATTAGTTAAAAGCTGAACTCCTTGAAGGATGTAAATCAATTTTTTTTCAAATCACTACTCATTTTCCAAAAATTTGCTCCAAATCTTAAAATAAAAAAAATCAATAAAACTATGACATTATTTAATTAGAAAACCTTTTAATTGATTTTATAAATAAGATTTATTAAGGACACTACAGTATTAAGAAAATTTTTTTTTCGATTAACAATGAATTTTTACAAGAATTGTTTTCATTTTTAAATTTTAATTATAATAATTTATAATATTAAATTGTTTAAAATTTTGCATTACTTCAATTCGGTTAGGTGATATTAAGATGTTGAAATAATGACTTGTTTAATTAATCAAATGAGTTTTAAAAGTTACAAAGAGTAAAACAAGAAATTACTTTATTAACTCATTAATGGCCATCACAAAATCTGGCATTAATTATAGATTTCTAAAAAATCCAGTATTAACTATGAAAATTAAAATCAAAATCCAGTATTAACTATGAAAATAAGAATCCAGTATTAACTATAAAAATTAAAATAAAATTCTAGTACTATGAAAATTAAAATAAAAATCCAGTATTAACTATAGGTTTATAAAAAACCTAGTATTAATTATATGTTTATAAAAAATCCAGTACACATTATATGTTGATAAAAAATTCAAAATTATTTATAGGTTTCTAAACATCTAGTATTAATTATAAGTTTATAAAATCTCCAGTACTAGTCATAAGTTTATGAAATAAAATCTGGTATTAATTATGCATTTATAAAAAAAAATCCAGTATTAATTCTAAGGATTCTAAACTTTTAGTATTAATTATAAGGTTTATTAAAAAAAAAACAATATTAATTTTTTTAACAAATCCAGTATTAATTTTAGATTTCAAAATATCTAGTATTAATTATAAGGTTATAAAAAATTCAGTATTAATTATAGATTTATAAAAAAAATCTGGTATTAATTATAAGTTTCTAAAAAATTTGGTATTAATTATGTTTCAACAGATAACACATTAAATTAATTGATTCAATGTGTTAAACAAATGCTGTGTATTACATTTCAAAAACAAAGAAAGGTTGAATGTGGGTTTACTGAAAAGATTAAGAAGCAACCCAAATTTACCTGATTGCAAGGCTTTGAATTCTTAGCTTGTTTCCATGATGTCATACATATTTCAGTACAAAAGACAATACTTGACTTAACAACACAAACCTATTTGAAATGGCCAAATGGATTGTAAACAATCTGAGAAATTATTTTAGGCAAATTTGTATGTAAAAGTATAAAGATACTAAATCTGTGTTTTATCAATGTTACAGTAAAGATTGAAGATGTTTGGATTTAATCTTTCATTGATCAGGCAGCAAAAGTATATTTGTCAACAGTTAATGAAATCTGTTGCTGTGGTGTAATGGTTAGCAAGACAGGTTTACAAATCAATTAGCAGTGGGTTCAATCCTCACCAGGAGCTCTATGTGTGGGTGTTTTTCTTTTTTTTTTTTAAATCTAAGCCACATTGCCAAACCCCTTAAAAGCTAAGCCACAAGAAGAGACTGAACATTGATTCTCACATTTATTTTGAAGAAATTTAAAAAATCTATAATGAATAAACCTTTTTGCTAATTATCCCCAGGTGGCAAAAAACGTGTGGCTAGCTAAATGGTTATTAATGTGGAAAGTGGAACTGGCAAATTGAGTTCAAGTTCTAACCTAGTCTGCTGCATTCTCTTTCACACAATTGCTTGGGAAAAAGGTATGACTATTTCTTCTCCCACAAGTAAGGACTAAATAGAAGGGTAAACTGGACATTGGAGTTGTTTCCCAAAGTTCCAAATTCAGAATTGTCTTTTCCCTAGACTGATTGCCACCCAAAGCCCAGTTTTTTTTTTTTAAATAGTTCATTCCAAGCAAGGCAATATTGCCACTAAGATGCAAGGCGTTACTGGAAGGAAAAGACTTTAGAAGGAACCAGAAACTGATTCCTAAACGGAAAACAGGGGATAAATCTCTACTGTTTATAAGACTAGGAAGGAGTGTGAGCCTATCTACTCCTATTGAGGGTGGAAAAAGGATATAAACAGTAAATAAAATTTAGAGATTAGGTGGAGACGTTAGAAGTATAGAGTTGAAGCAGACCTCAGAAGGAACCAGAAATCCAATCCCAAACAGGAAACAAACCTCTACTCCTGTTTAAAAGACCGGAACCTTGCTATTTAAACTACCATATATTTCCGCATATAAGACAACCTTAAAATCCCCAAAATCACCCTTAAATTTGGGGGGGGGGTCATCTTATACTACAATTCTAAGAAAGAAACCTTAAATTCTGAATGATGTTTGTCAGTAGGCTAACCTCAGCCTCAGTGTGATAACCAATAACATACATGAAAAGATTCACATTATCAAATAAACTGATAATAAAAGTAATAAAACCATTTCTACCTTATATATTCCTGGTATAACTTTATAATAAATTGCCTATTTGAAGAATAATTCCATATCAATGATATCAACTTGAATCCTTGCATGCTCAGCTGAGAAAATGTAAACGAGTTACGATTGTGTTCACAGCAATGGAATGTACTATTATCGTACTGTTATTAGTGGTATTTTGTGATTGTCAATGAAGTAAATGGCCATTAGTACACCAGGCTGTTTTTAACTGTTTAGATATAGGAAAAGAAGAGGAAGAAGAATAATCAGTATTCACATGAGATCACATGATGAAATATAAACAAAACAATGGTTTCCCTCTTAGGGGATGCATGTAGGAAAAGCATAAAATCGGTTTTGTTATTTTATTTTGAATTTCTAAGGATACAAGAAGTAACAACATTTCCAATAACATCATCTTTATATAATCAATAAGCAGTTGTCTTATACTACAGGTATAGGATAAATTCATGAAAATTTGCTATTTTTTTTTTTTTACTTCTTATCTAAAGGTCACCTTATACACAGAAATATACAGTATATATCTGAATAACAGTATATCTGAATGAATTGATCCATGATATTCCCAAGGGGATTTGTGTGTATTCTTCATTTTATAAGTCTTCTAAAGTCTTAATATGTCTTGTAGACTGTAATGAGTGGAGTTTAAATTCCGGCCCAGTCTCTTGTGTTTTTTATGCAACATTAAATTCTGGATGGAATTTGAACTAAGCCCATTACAGTCTACAAGACATGTTAAGATTTTAGAAGACTTATCAATTAAAAAACAAATGCAAAATTTTAGCATATAGTTAGTGGGAGCATTGTGTGCTAAAAGTGAGTATTTGACTACAAATACAATATTTGTAAAGATGGAGCCTCCTTTCAAACAAAATTTTCTTTTTTTTTTTTTTTTTGCAACTTATCAAAATTTCCAGGTTATTCAAAGCCAAAAAGGGGCACCTCAATGTGGTGTAAATGCTTGTCTTGCTAGATCAGTTGCATCTCAGTAGCAAGTCCAATCCTCATTGAGTGCTCACTACTTTCAGCTTTGTGTCATGTCTATAATATGCTAGTATATCACTATATAAAGTCAGAAAATATTTTTAGATTGTTAGCAGTTTTTGGTAGATAATAATGATTTACTGATACAAGTTCTACTCATTGACCTATAGATGGTGGGAGAAGAGGTGGATTTATACCTTTCTCAAGAGTATTTGCATGTAAGTAAATATAACGAGCCCAACTGGAATTCGAACCTGACTCTCTGATTGCCAGTTCAGAACCATTATCTATTTCACCACCCGCACATCCAAGTTTACAGGTATTCCAAATGGTCACCCATCTTGATACTGACCAAACTTGACGTTGCTTAACTTCAGTGATCGTATAAGAACCGACAGCAAGTCTACAAGGTGGTCCAAAAGTCTACATAATATAATTTTCTATTTCAGATAGCTGACATGAAAATCATGGTGTTCATACAGTCCTTCCTGATATGTGACAGCATCAATGAAAGTGAATAAACTGAATCAATTACATTTTGGTAGAGGGTGACAAGACTTTTGGACCACCCCGTAGAATTAAAACCAAGATCAAAGGCAATGGGAAACGACTTCCAAGAAGTCAAGGCAATTCACAAATAAAGAAAATTAGAAAAGGAATCTGTGGAGAGCCATGATAGCCGAATACTGAAGGGATTTGACATTTAATAGAGGTTTTCTTTAAGTTAACTGAACAGTACTGTAGTGAAATGTGTCATCATGTGACGGAAGATCATGCGAAGGATCGATCCCCCCAAAATTAAGTTAAATAACTAATAATAACTTTCTAAAACAAATTTTGGTAGTTACAAAAACTGAGCAAGCAGCTATTTTAGTAAGCAACCAGTGAGTAGTGAAATACGACGGATTTTTTTTTACCTGCAAAAGTACTGACTGCCAAGCAGCGATTTCTTTGCACGTTTTTTGTCACACACCTTTCTGGACGGACCATAGTCCCTGATTGGTGATACCTTTTTAAATTAATTACAAACCCTAAACAAAACAATCTCATCTTGTCGACTCAAAAAGAGACTGAAGCACACGTACTAACCCCAAGGAGAACTGACAACAGTAGATAGAATAATTATCGCGCTAATAGGCCGCCATGTTTTGGAATATAATATGATAATCAATATTTGATTAAGTATTTTAGATTTTATTTTTAGACGGAAGTCTATTCGATATTTAGTGATATTTAATTAAATCTAAAATCGGAGAATACTTTTTGAGAGTAAGGTAATAATAAAAATAAAATCGATATTGCTATCATCGGTTAAAATAAAAATAAATAGAGGAAGTAAATTAACAAAGAAAAATTATGCATCGATGTTTTTTTGTTGGGGGATTATCGATTTTTTGTTTGTTTATGACCGTTTTCGAAAGTATTGCAATAATTTATTTATTTATTTAATATTTTTCTCAAATTACTGGTTCAGTTTTCTTAGATATTGTTTAGTACAATGTTTAGGTTGATACTTTTTTCGTTGTTTTTCTTTCTTTATGTTTGTGTTTTATAGACTTAGAGCAATCGTTACTCGAAAATTATGTAATATACTTCCGTTTTTTTTTTTTTTGTTTTGTTTTTAGGGAGAGAATAACAATAAAAACAAAGTTTGTCTCATTAAGTTACACATTTTTGTTTGTTAATAAAGAAATAAATCAACTGAGCTAAAAAACTAAAAGAAAATTACGTATTAAAAATAGTACACTATTAAAGAAAATATTCTTTTAATCTTTTTACACAGATTTTTTTCCCCTAGCAGACAACAAATAATTAATTAGTTGTAAACGACATGAGTAATTATAAAATATGAATTTATTTACTACTATTCTTTTTTTTCCCCTCGCTTAGCTAACTAATATATAAACTTAATAATTAATTAAATGGAGTTATTGTATATAATTAAAAATTGTATAGTTCGTTTATGGAGTTAAAAATCATTTTTTAAAATCTTTGCAAAATTCAGCAACGAAAAAAGTAAAAATACAATTCCGGTTTTATTCTCTACTCATATGAAATTTCTAAATAAATCAATTTTGTCTCGTTTTTAGTCCAATATTAACGAAAAAGATTTTTTAAAAGTATATTGCAATTAAAATACATGAAACTCTAATTGATTGAAGGAAAAACAAACAACGACAAACACTCTGCAAAAATACTGTCGTTCATTTTTTGTTCCGCATATAAACAAACAGAAAATACATTGTTTTTTATAATTTTACTTGATAAAAAACTTCAACTTTCAAAAGCGTATTCTGATATCAATATTTACTTTTGAAACAACAAGCAAACGACACTCGAATCCAAGAAGCACCCACACTCCACACCATGTTTCGTTTTTTTTTTTTTTTCATTCTCGCACCACAACAAACTATCTCGCGAACACATTGTATATATACATATAGATATAAATACATATATACACACCTGGAGGGACTTGTCACCAGAGCTTTCTAATACAACTATTAATTGCTTAATTTGTAGAGGAGATAAAAGTGTCGGGGTCATAATTACTATTTTTACAATTCTTCGTTAATATTAATCGCCACGTGCTGGCTATATTAAAATTAAACAATTGATAATCACCATAAAATGAATTGCATCGCGGGGGCTACACTAAAGGGAGACCACTCTAAATTGTAACATAATCAAGGGAGATAAGAAGTTACTTTTATTTGCCTTCGAAGTCATACCAATGATAATCTCCCCGTATATTATTATATTTTTTAAATTTTTTTTTAAGGCTGTGACCTTTCAGGACGAAGACGATCATATCTCCTCATTGATTTCTTTTCTTTCTGTAGTAATAGTGGAGTGGTTTTCTGTTGCCTTCTGACACAGTTTTGAATAAGGAGTTGTCGTGGATACTTTCGTGATCATTCCAATCTTAACCTTAAAACTTAAAACCGTTATCTTTCTCATATATGCTCATAAACTTCACTTTTTATCTCTTACTGTTACTGCGCATACAACAATCTCATAAAAAAAACTACCATCCAAAGCTAAAAAGACCAGTCTATCCTGTTATTTAACCATTAGCACTCTATATGTAGGCAACTTTGTAGCAGTTGTTTACATACACCACGCCCACAAAATACTCAATAGCCATTGGACAGAAAATAACCACTATTTTCTATAGGACAATTTATGCATCGCATGAGCCACATCAAATTTTCTGATGTTTACTTTGCCAAAACTGGTTTAGAAAAAAAAACAGTCATTGGTTGATTTTTGAACAATAATATAATATAACACTCCTTTCAATATTTTCCCCGCTCTCGTACCTGGAGCCTATTCAGAAAGTATAATTAACACGAAAATCAAAGAAAAGAACAGTAGTAGAACAGTAAATCTCCAGAGCTCAATCACGTACGTGAATTCTCATTCTTCTACTTACACACATAGACACAAAATTACAATTGCACTACGCTGTGATCTGTCTGTCCAAAAAGCCAAGTAACCAACTCGGAATTCTATCATTCTTTTGTACAACTTTCTCATACTTAAACTCAGTTATCACATATTGCTGAACTCTGAACATTTTAAACAAGAAAGTTCTTTTAACACATATTTACAATCTCACATCAGTACAAGGGGAACTACTTCCTCTTTCTTAACTTTGTTTAACCAAATACAATTGTTGTACTCGCTTGTTTTTCAATACATGTTATTGTTGAATCTCTTGTTATTCCTTCTTTGTGTTTCTTTGTAAAATTTAAATGTGATGTGCTAATCAAAAACGCAACCTTCACCAAAGCCTTCTTAACAATTTTATGCCAAATCTCATTAGCACGCCACAACTTCCTTTGTCAAACAAAATATTTGTACGGCCACTGCATCAGACAACAGTGTGGTTGAATTTTGCGCTTGTGTTAGTGTTGTTATACTATGAAAATCCTACTGAAAATCGAATATGATGCTACTTCAGTTGTATGGCCACTTATAAGCAATGGATGAATTACTTACGGATATTGCAGAATGCTAAAGGTTAACCCATATCTGGATGGTGAAAAAGAAGAAATAGGTTCATGTCTTTCCCAAGAGCATGCGTGTCAAAATGAACAACAGATGAAGCCAGAATTTAAACTCGTCTGTATAGTTAAAGTTTTAGAAGTCTTAAAATTAAAAAGAAAAACAACTTAACAACAAATTAAGATTAAAAAGATTGTTTTCGGAGAGAGTGTGTAGGAGAAGAGTGAACGTCACCTCTCTTATCGAAATTACTGAGGCGCATAGGAATACAAACAAAACTGGAAACTCTGATGTGAAATTTGAAAGAAAGAAACGTTTATTATGACGATATAAAAGCAATAACATAAAATACAGGGTTTACAAATAAGTTTATACAAACCTTTCTTTTTATGCGCATTGTTATTGAGGCAAGTTAACCAATTCAAAAATTACATATGGTAAATAAAAGCAGATATAATATTTTTTTCAACGATCTTTTCAAAAGGTACAATACAATTCTTTTTTTAAAAAAAAAAGTTCTAACAATACATATTCTTTCAAAAATGATACACTTACTTGAAACTCAAAAGTGACGAGGTTGTCAGATTCGCCAGAGTGACTGGGACTTTAACAATTTTTTTTAATTTTCTTTTTTTAACGCGGTTTGATTATCAATTTAAGAAAAAAATTACGTTTCTGATTTCTTTTAGCTTCTTTTTCTGTTTCTTCTTTTGCTTCTTACTTCTTTCGCGAGAAACTGCTTAGTTCATCCACCGGTGAAAGCCAAAATTCGTTGTCCTTCTTAAATCCTTCTCTAGCTTTTGTCTTTTTCAATCCTTGTACCCTTAAATCCTTGTAACCTGAATTATCCACCACATTTGACTTCTTATATAGACCTCAAATAGACCCTCGACGCGTTTCAAATTCTAAATTTGCATTGGATATGAAGTATTGAGGGAAAATGACAAGGAAATACGCATGTTATATTTTTAACAAAACAAGATAAGGGATTTATTTAAAATTTACGCATTTGAAGTTGTCAGTAGCTTGTCTCAGGAAAAGGAATCAAATATTTAAAGTTCGTAGTTCCGATGAATTGTCAAGAAGAAAAAATGTTCATATTAAATCATCGGACACTACTTTGTGTATTTAATATGAACATTTTTTTCAATATTCCACATTGTTTAAAACAAATTGAGAGAGTTCGTTTTTCGCATAAAAGTTATACGGTTGTATTCAACATGAATGAAAAGACATATTTTAAGGTATTTAGCTTTGTAGTTGAATAGGGTTCTTTGAAATTACCCTGCTCTCATTAGAGGTTGATAATGTATTAGCGTGTTATTCAGACGCGTGGAACACTGGCTTTCTGCCTCCTGCTTCTTTCTGGTTTCTGTTTGTCTGTCTGTCTGTCTGTCTGTCTCTCTCTCTCTTTCTCTCTCTCTCTCTCTGCCTTGATTCAACTTTCTCTGTCTATTTATATCGCAAAACGATTTCACATCGGCTTGTTACCTTTTTCTCAATTTGTAAGCCGCTCCCTTTTCCATTAGTTAAAATAAATTTTCACATAGGCTTGTTAAACTTTGCTTTGCTCTTTTCTTCAGCTCGAAATCGAACACTTTTTCTATTGGTTAAAATAAATTTTCGCATAGGCCCACGAATTTGAAAACAGTGGAGAAAAGTGAGTTATTTTTATTTCATATTCACCACAGAGGAATTCACGATCCTCATTGGTCAAAACAGTCCAAAATGTATCTCTTTCTGGAATTTGAAAATGAAATCCGAGAAGTAACAAATCACTTTGACCGACTTATTTTTGACGGGTTCTTTTCGAGCTATTGTATTTTTTTTACAAAGTTTAAAGAACATATCTTACACATCAAATTTATCAGTTATTTTTTTACTAACTCTCTGGTTTTCTTTTCATTCTTGTAAGCACTTCTCGTAAAAGCAAATGTGATTAACATAGTCTATTTTAATATTTATTTTTTCTTCAACTTTTTATTAAACATTTATTTAATTTACATATTTTTTTTTACATAAATTTTATATTCTCCCCCTCAAGAGAAACAACAATAAACAAACTTAGTGCATTGTACTATTTTTTAATTATTTTACATTAATTTCGTACAAAAATGTTTATAAGATAATTTTAACTATTTTTTAAATGTATACAGTAGGAGTTTACGTGTCAAAATGTGTAGAACTCTAAATACATGATCCTTGAAGATTAGGCACTGCCAGTGACATGCGCACGTTTGACACGAGAACAAAAAATGAAAACAAAATCAAACCACTATTTACATTATTCGGACTGTTCTACTCATCTTTGTTAAAGTTGTTAAACTCAAATATTTAACGATGCGATAGGGAAATTTCTACAGATTTCTTATTGTTTTAGAACTCGCCATGAGCTTCTTATTCATTTGTTAACTTAAAAATTAAGATTCATCAGAAAATTAAAATAGGAAAACCGTGAAATTTTCACGGGTCTTTCTAGTTATTATTATTATTATTATTATTATTATCATTGTCATCATCATCATCATTCGATTTCTGCTATGGACACACTACCTACCAAGTCTGCGGAAAGACCTAAGGCAGGTCGTGGTGTTGTTATTATAGCCACATTTCATGTTAATTTTTTTTTTTTTTTTTTTTTTTTTTTCGATGAAGTTGCTAGCGTTACATAGACAAAGTTCTATGTAACGCTATTATTATTATTATTATTATTATTATTATTTTTATTATTATTATTATTATTTTTTTATTATTATTATTTGTATTATTATTATTATTATTATTATTTTTTTATTATTTTTTATTATTATTATTATTATCATCATCATCATTCGATTTCTGCTATGGACACACTACCTACCAAGTCTGCGGAAAGACCTAAGGCAGGTCGTGGTGTGTTGTTATGGCCACATTTCATGTTAATTTTTTTTTTTTTTTTTTTTCCGATGAAGTTGCTAGCGTTACATAGACAAAGTTCTCCTTAGTGTGTGTGCTGTACTTAATAAGACAATTTTCTGTATGTCTCTTAAGCTGGGGTTTCAGGGATTCTTTCAATGTGTTGTTTTGTTCCATTTTTTATAATTCCAAGTGCACCTATTACCACTGGTATTATTCTTGTTTTCAATTTCCACATTTTTTCTATTTCAATTTCCAGGTCTTTGTATTTTGATAGTTTTTCAAATTCCTTGGTTGCTATGTTACAATCCGCTGGACAAGCCATATCAATTAGTAGGCAAGTTTTTTCTTTCTGGTTTTTGACAATAATGTCCGGCCTATTTGCTTCAATTTTTCTGTCTGTGTGGATGGTATAATCCCATAGAATGGTGACATCTTCTATTTCTGTAACCGGCGCTGGCCGATGTTCATACCAGTGTTTGCTTACACATTTTCCAAAGTGTTTGCACATTGTCCAGTGTAAGTATTGCCCCACTCTATCGTGACGATTTTTATATTCATTTGGGGCAAGTATAGAACATCCTGAGATTAGATGGTCTATTGTTTCTTGGTATTTGTCACAGAACCTGCATTTTGGATCC